AAATATGTAACTAAAATATTAATAAATAGTTCTATAATTTTGTTAGTATTTACTAGCCACTGGTGGACTCGAACTGCCAGACAAGTCTAGCTTTTGGGTTAGCAGCACTGCCTAGGGACTTGGCAGTGAGAGCCAATTGCAAATAGAATTCTGAGGAAGAGGGTGGTTTGGGAGAGGTAACGCCACCACACTGCTCCTTAGAATTGAGGATGTCTAGATTTCGTCTCTTGTGCTTTGAGCATGCATTCAGGAAGAAGCTTGTCCTGGAGGAGGACATTGTGCTTGGTAAGTAAAACAGGATGAGAGAAAGAATGGACGGCTCTCAGGGAGGTGGGCTGACCCTGGAGTTGCCACAGTGGGCTCAGACAGCAATCTGAAGATGGTGCAGGACCTGGCAACATTCATTCAATTCTTACATAGTAAAATACTGCTGCTGTTAGGTGCTCTCAAGTCAGTTATGACTTATCAGAACAACTCATAACCAGTTTGGTAGTCCCTTTTGTACAACAAAATCAAGCAGCCCATTCATGAACTTGAACCCATTAATGTAGCCACCATGCTCTGTTGGCCTTGTGGCAAAAAACTGTGCTGCGAGTCATGTGGTGCGAGGCATGTGGTTCAAGGCCACCAGCTGCTCCGTGGGAGAAGGATGGGCAATCTCCTCCCTCTCCTCCAGTGTGATTAACCGCCTCTAAAAACTCACAGGAGGGACAGATGTGGGTCGGTTTCGACCCTATGATGTACAGCAACAGAGACAACATGCCAGTTCATCTCATGGAGGCTCGTCCTCTTTTTTTGCTGACTCTCCTTTACCAAATATGGTGTCTTCCTTCAGGGACTGACCACTCCTGACATACTCAGGGAAACCAGTACCACAGATTCTTGCCATCATTACTTCTAAGGAGTGTTCTAGCTGTGAATTTCCTAAGATAGATTTATTGTCTGTCAGCCTATGGTATGTTTAGTCTTCTTGGGCAACAATTATTTGAGGCATCAGTTCATCTTTGGTCTTCCATACTGTCTAACTTTCACGTGTGTTTGTGGCAGTTCACAATATCATGGTTTGGATCAGCAAGCCTTAGTCTTCAAAGTGACATCTTGGCTCTGTTGACACCTTAGAGAGGGGCTGCTTCGCAGCGGGTTTGCCCAGTTCATACAGTGTTTTATTTCTTGACTGCAGCTTCCCTGTGTGTTGATGGCGGATTCAAAGGAAATAAGATTCTTGACAGCGTCAATTGTTTTCTCCATTTTCCATGATGGATTATGTAGCTAAAAAGAGGAAAGGTTGTCCAGAGTTGAAAAGTCTCAGGGTGGGAGTGGGGGGCTTTCATGGACATTTCCCAAGAATGGTATTTAAGCTGGGCTACCCTAGAGAAACTGGGACTAAGTGGTCAGTTCTTTCTTCGTTATTTTTTTCCCAAATTATGACTTGAGTATGAGTTTACAGAGATACTGCTTTTTCCCC